CCACCGCCACCGACACCGCCACCGCCACCGCCACCGCCACCGCCACCACCGCCGCCACAACTACTGGTACAACTACACTACTACCACCTCCATTGTTATTACCTGTACCAGCATTATTACTAGCAGATGGACTTGGCCACTGCTGGCTCCATTCGGCATGGCAGATCCCATATCAGAACCGCCACAGATGTGTGCGGCTTCGTTCGGTTGACTATTTGGTCTGCCAGGTCGAGAGCCAGAAAAAGACGGTGGCCGCCAAGCCAACCAAGAAGCGCAAGGTGCGTCTTTTTGTTTCAGGCACCAGATCAGACTGGCAACCCGTACTCAATGATGCCAGGAAAAGACAAAGTTCAAGTTCTGAGCGGCTCTGTTTTTCCGTTGTTGGATCATGGGTCGTGGCTTTTACGTCTGCACTGTTGTTGGTCTCTTCAACAGCCAGTTCAAGCAGATTGGTCCGAGCGGATCGGCAGGTTTTGGAGGCAAAGTCCTGCTAACGTGGAGCCTCCATTGCAGAAGACGCGACGTTGCTGCCCTTTAGAAAGAAGCGGGCGCTTCTTTCAGCAAGCCAGCATTGCGGCATTTCCCTTTGTTGCATTGTTGCAAGCATGTTGCAAGCATTCTGAGAGTTTTAGAAATACATTGCGCCGCAGCTTTTGCTTTGCATTGACAGCGTGGCGTTGTACGGACACAGATAGGCCACCGTACGGGACAGCATGACAGTCACAAGGCTCCTCTTGCATCTTAACACTGCCAAAACAGGTTGTACTCGTACTTGTGAGAAATACATGAGACTTTTGCTATGCTGGAGCAGCAGGACTAGTGGGGAAGCTGCGCAGCACAGAAGCCTTGGAGTCCCGCCAGTCCTTATGTGCCATTGATGGCCGATGGCGGCAAATGGTGGAACAGAGTCACAAGATCCAGCATCGCCACTGTCTAGCAAATTTAATGCTTCGTGTTTTGAAGTGTGATCTAATACACATCTGAGGTATCGGCTGAAAAGTCGCCGGTCGTTCCATAATATAGATGCTTGGATGGTATTTGAAAACCATAGATAAGTGTTCCCGGGTTTCCTTGGAATCCTTGTACTTCTCCCTAGTTTATGCAAACTGCCATGCTTTTCCTGGGAAATTTCAGGATCGGGAGACGGTTTCGAAAGATGCGTTCCAGGAACTCGACAAGGACCTTCCTGCTCCTGACTACTGGAGGGTATCCATTGTGGTCACAGGACGAAAATTTTGCCAACCTTCATGAAGAAGTTTCTGAGCAGAATATGCGTCGAGTTTGGAGCAGCCTGCTGCTTCACTGCAAAAAGTTGAGATGGACGTGAGCCTTGGTGACGCACGTGCGCTGGCCCCAGCATGCAGGAGTGGTCTCTGGCTGGTGACGCCCCAAGTTGTAAGCAGCCCACTTTTTTGAATGTGGGTTCAACAGTGGATTCCGAGGTCCATGGCAAATGCCCCACAGCCAATGAAGAACCTTTCCACGTTCGCGAGTTGGCACTTTTGCCCAGGTGTTGTGCCTAGTTCGGCTGTTCCTTGTGGCTGACAAATGCAGCGTGACTCCTCGTGCATCAGGTCAAAGGAATCGGGAGAGAGTGTTCTTGCGACTTGGACCCAACTCACTGAGTCCCGGCTAGATCGGAAAGACAGGTCCCGTATGTTATGTGGAGCAAGCACCCTCTAAGGCGAGACACAACATCTCGGTGCTCTGCTGCAAGGGCTGCAAACATCCAGATGATTGCTCCCCAGGCCAGGATAACTTCAGCAGCTCCCGACTACCTGGAGGCTTCCGTCTGCACTGCGTGGCGGATGGGCACGGTGAAGAAGGGAGCTGGGTATCTGAGCGAGTTGTCAGGGCTCTGCCGTACTTTTTGAGCTCACGAGACTGTCGCAAGATGCTGCGCGAGGGTGAAGTGGAGAGTGCCTTCTTGTCGGCCTTTGAACGACTTCAAGAGGACATTGTCTCTGCATCACGCGATGCTGCCATCAATATCCAGCTGTCTGGAAGCACTGCGGTGTGCATCCTGCGCCAGATACACAGCCCAGTCGTTTGGGTTGCGTGTACGGGTGACTCTCGTGTCATCCACGTGGCCCGGGACGGAAGCGTTTCTTTCGCAACAGAGGACCACAAGCCCTCCAACCAAAAAGAGCGTCAGCGGGTCATGATGAGCGGCTGTGAGATCACAACGAGCGATGCTGCAAACGGGGAGGTGCTGGAAAAGATTGCTTGAGGCTTAGTTGCTAGACCCAGAGTCCTGTTCATGAAATGCTTCGGTTCTTGTGCATCCAGTTGGCAGCTAAGTGTTTGCTGGGTCAGCGCGGCAAGCTTCCAGAACTTGGATTCACGCGCTCCATTGGCGACCTCATGAGCCTCGGTTGTTCAAGAGGTGGTAGCTTCGCAGATGATCCCCTCACAATAATGGAGAATGAACTTAATCAAATAGAAAACCAACAGAACATGAAATGGAAGCAACTACGTTATTCAGGATTTAGGATGAGGCCCCAAGACTGGCAATTATGAAGAGCTACTCTGCTTTTTTAGGATTTGGGGTTGCTGAAGGCGCGAAAAACCCTAAACGTCTAACCCTTGAGTGACAAAAACAACTCTGGAGTGATTGACGTTTAGACAAAAGTCCAATTAGAAAAAACAAAACAAGCCCTACGGTAAACCCTAAATCCTAATATCTTAACTTGATCCTAAAAGCCAAATCCCTATATGACCCCCCTAGTGTTGTCAGGTACAAGAAGTACGGCGTCACCGCCAGGCCAGAAGTCTTTAGGCTGGAGCAGGACAGGCAACAAAAAAGGTTCAGAGTTCACTGTTTACGGTTCAGGGTTTACGGTTTAAGGTTTAGAGTTGATGGTTTAGGGTTCAGAGTTTAGGTTTCAGGGTTTAGGGTTCAGGGTTCGCTTAGGCTGAGACATAAGAAGTTGCTCTACAACACCAGTTTGCATTTACTTCTCCATCTTTTCCATTTCATTCGCTGTTACTACCCCTAAATAACATGGTGGCTTCCATTTTGGTTTCCATTGGGTTTTCCATTTGATTCTCCATGATCACGAGGGAATCCCCTGCTTTGCTGTACCTGGCCAGGAGCTTGGTGATGGCTCTGGGCACTTCCTCTTAGCTAGTGATGGGATCTGGGAGTTCATGAGCAATGACGAGGTTGCCTCTATTGTTCACAGTACCTTGAGCTACCACTTGCTTTCAGCCAGTGCTGTGTCGATGGAATTTCTTGAATAGACTGCATCTTGTGCGGTAAGGTCTAGGTTTCAATCCTGCTGAGGTAGCCTCCAATCCGGCATCTGCAAAGACAGCATAGTGCAGGAACTTGTCAAGGTGGGGTTTTTCAATGTGTGCAATGCTTGGATGTGGACTGCTGGGCACGGATTCGTGCAGGTTGCGCAAAGCAGGTGGAAGGACTGCTCGTGTTTCTGATGTATGTTTGGCAAACATATGACTCTGCTGGCTGCCGCTTGCATTGGAGGAACATGAGTATGATTATTGTGACGACATCACGTTGCTCATGGTGGTAAGCTGAGCTGGAACTGGCCTGACATGAGAGCATGGAAAGCTTGGTGCTCAGGTGCCAACGCGGCAGGTGACTGCCGCCCCTCCCGCTCCTGATGATAGCTGCCTAGGAGGCCACACCACAGCTCCTAACGCTCAGAAAAACGTTGACTTTGCCTCTGCCACGAGCTTTCTGTGCCAGGTGTCGTCTACGCCTCTGAGGAATGCTTAGCTCGTGTAGACAAACTCTGCGCGATTCAGTAACTGTAGTCCAATAAGGATGACAGCACTCTGCAGCTGGTTGCCTTCATGTAAATCCAGCTAGGATCTTTTGACCTGTTTGTTCAGCCATTCTTTGACGTGGTGGCTGCCGTCACTGGACGTGCTGCCAACCAAACAGGGCACCATCACTGCAAAGTGCTCCCATTTTTCACCTAGACGAACCCTGTGCGCGCTGAGCCTGCCATTACATGCTTGGCACCCGGACCGGACTACACAAGTAGTGGTGTGATGCATGCGATGCTTTAAAGCTTGGCTATCTTTCTGGCATATCGCGTTCAAGCACCCATGTTTTGATGATACAAGGAAGACACCATCATCCATTCAAAGCAGTCATGCACTTTGGCAAGGTCTAAACGGCCTATTTAGTCAAGCCCTGCCAAGAAGGATAGGAGGCGTGCCGTAGTTGCTGGACACCTGATCCTCATCATGTGGCGAACAAATGCCGTCCAAGAGTCACTGGCTGAGGGAAGTAATTCAAGCAGTTCTTCCTGCCGTCAACTCCCTCAGCAAGCTTGATTGCTGGAGGCCGCAAGGCAGCAAAAGTAGATGCTGCGGAGGCGCTCTTGCTTCCATTTTGTTTCCTGTAGGTCAGGGAAGCACTTGGCTTATCCGTGCTGGCAGCCTGGAATGATCTGTTCAGGCAGAGACGCGCTTGGCAGAGCTTCGACAGCGGACTACCTTCGGAGGTCTTAAGGCCTGCTGCTCTGGCTTTGAAGTTCTTCTGCGGTAGCGTATTCACATGTCAATCGTAGATGCGCTGTTTCAGAAGATGAGGCTGAGTCAGATGAGTCAGGAGAGGAGGCTGAAGATGAGGAGGAGGCAACGGCCTTTGCATAGTATATTTGGGTTATAGAGGGACAATATGGAAACTACTTTAGTATATTGGGGTTATATTGATGTTTCTTGTTCCGCAGCATATGAGCTATAGTCTAAACTTTTTAAAGGGGGGTTTATATAAGTGATTAAAAAGGGACCTACAAGAAGGCTACTAAGGGGGATACTAGGAGTTTAGACCCTAAACCCTGAACCCTAAATCCTAAAACCTAAACCCTAAACCCTAAACCCTAAATCCTAAACCCTAAACCCTAGGCCCTAAACCCTATATTAT